CTTGATGCGCAGGCATTGATTCTCCTATAAATACACATAATGAACAACTGTATATAAATGTAACGGAGATAAATGTACCTGTGCAATCTGATCGAAGCGTCCAAAGAGATCGTTTAGGGTCTTGACCAAATCACTGGCCGTCAGCGAGCTGGAAAGCGGCGTAAAGTTGACAATATCCGCAAACAGTATGGTCACATTGGTGTGCCGCTGCACGTGAAGCTCATGGAAGCGTGTGGCCGATGTGGATGCCTGGCCACCGGCTCGCTGGCAGGCATCGGCCATTTTCAGCATTATGCTGCGCTTCACCTGCACCGCGAATGGAAGAGCCAGATAATATGATTATGCCACGCTAATCCAATCCACGGCAATCCAATCGCAATACTCACCTCGGCGGCTATGTAGGCGGGTATCACGCTGAGCAGCAACTGCTCCTGCTGCTCCCGTTCGCATTCGAGTTTTACGCGCTGCTCGATGCCCGTCCGGGTGCCGTCTACAGTGCGATTGTGTGCAGCATCCGACATGATGCGATAGTAAAGACCGGATATGGAGGCACTGGCCAGCATCACAATCTCACCGAAGAGCTAAGGGGCAGGCAGGGAGACGTAGGTGGAAGGTGGAAAAACTCGTAAATAACGAATGTCTAAGCCCAGGCAATTACGAGTCAGCACACGGTGCATAACGCATCGTTATCCCCACTGCAGCAGAGCATCCACCAGGGGGACAAGCAAAAACCAGGATGCAGCCTAATTAACGACGCATCGCTGGAGGGGTGTTGTGTGTGTGGTGTGTGTGTGGGGGTAAAACCGCAGTCGTTACGTGCATACCCAGACCCATACCCATATATGTATGTATGTATGCAGTAGGGAAATGAAACGAGTTCAGAAACTAATTATTTCTATCCACGTGGTTATTCTGAAGCTATTTAAGCTTTTAAGAATTAAACGAGTTGAGTGTTGAAAGCACTCAGACAAAAATTGCATTGTTAAAAGAATTTCAATTCTAATTTCAACACAAAAATAATGTAATTAGATAGAATTTAAATATAATTTAATTTGATTTTAATATAAATAAATTTATCAAAATGTCTCTTTAACACAGCACATATTTAATCTGAACGTAAAACACTTTAACAGAAATTTGTGGGAAACATATTTAATATTAATATGAAAATATTAAATATGAATATGAAAATACATGAAATATATTTAAATCAAATATTTTATATTAAATATATTTATATATATTTTGTTATATTTATATAAATTATGAAAATATTAAATTTTATTATGAAAATATATGAAATATATTTAAGTTAAATATTTTCATATTAAATATATTTATATATATTTTATTATATTTATATTAAATATGAAAATAGAAAAAAAAAATTTTTCAAATATGAAAATATATGAAATATTTTATATTAAATATATTTATATTATATTATATATATATTTTTTTATATTTATATATATATGAAAATATTAAATATGAATATGAAAATATATGAAATATATTTAAATCAAATATTTTCATATTAATGTCAAAAAACAAGGGAAAAAACTTCCTTTTACCATCTCCGCTCTTGGAAGAAATTTATTGGCATTACATGCTTAAATCTAAGTGTGTATTTCAATCCTTTTTTATCTCGGTGTAGAAAACTGTTGTGTGGGTATAGGATAATGCGAGTATGCGCCACTTGTTCCCAAACAAATATATGTGGAAAGAGATGCCCATTCATTGCCAACAATGGATACCCATAAGATCGGAAAAGCCCATTTAACTAAGTAATTGCTGACGCAACTCTCCACATAGTAATTGCATTTCCACTAGTTGTAATCCCTCCCCCGCTCCCCCCTCCAACCAGATGACAACTAATCTAATCACTTGTGTGGAGAATGCAAATGAATGGGAATGCACATTTAGTTGGATTTTCGACTTACCATTGGCAAATTGGGTGCATAGTCCGGACTGGTGCCGATCCGGTAAACGATGTGAATGGCGGTCATGAATAGGGCCAACACCACGGATACGGGCCACGATATGGGCAACATGGAGTGGATGCACTGCAATTCACACACACACACACTCAAGAGATATAATCCTTTTCTTAAATGGAGAGCAGGAGAGCACAGCTTACCAAAAACAAAGCATACATGGGCAGCGGCGCCAGCTCATCGCCTGTGCTGGCTGCAATGGTGCCCAGCGAGAAGGTGGTGACGATGGCAAATGCCAAGGCTGCGGCGGGCGAGCTGAGCACGGCCGGGAACTGCAGGGCCGTGAGAATGGAGCCAGAGATAAGGGCCGCCAATGCCAGCAGCAGCGTCTGCACCAGGTGCTGTGGAATGAACACAGATTGCGCTTAGATCTCTTGCGGTGGGGCGCAGGATCTGAGCTGAGTGCTTACCTGCTCGTAAACAATGCCAATTATTATCGACACCAAACATGCCAGCAGCGACGTCAGCAGGCCCGATGTAAAGAGCGACTTGCGCAGCCTCTGGCGGTAGCGTGTATATAGGTCATTCAGGTGGATATCCTCAGCTGCAAAGGCATACAAAAATAAATAATGGTAATAATTCTATCCGCTAAAATCCTCAGCTTAAATTGAAGTTCAACAGTCACTCAGCGATTGTTGACCTTCTCTTTTTGAGCTCCTCGTCTGCTAAAATTTGACATTTGGAAACGCACACGCAAAGAAATTGTACACCATATCCATACACTGCCATTTCATTTGGCATACATTCGTATCTGATATGCTCAGCGTTAATTGAGCTGTCAGCACCATGGGAATAATGTGCTTGGTTAGGGTTATAACTGCCAAAGGCAACAGAGCAAATTAAATCGAAATGCTACTACCATTCGTGGTAATTGCGTGGGACATACAGAAATAACTTAATGGATATGAAAAATCAATAAAAGAAATAAATGATTCCATGTGCTGGACCTAGCACATTACTCACACAGTACTGTAGTATATAATTACAGCTACAGCTACTACATCAAATAATCACGGTACTGTAGCAGACTCGACTTTCACTCAGATAGATTTCCTATGGCTATTTTACCCATTAAATATTACTCGCTGCTTAATGGAAAATCAAGGCAATCAAATGCCGGAAAAAGTGTAAGTCAACAGCGGAATTAAGAGCAAATAGTAGTGTCCACACACGCCCAGCACTTTCATAAATAAATTTCATCAGCACTCACACACAGTCAGCTTAAAAAGTGTGCGGAACACGCACTTGAATGACGCTCAAGCATCAAAATTAGCATAATGTTAATGCTTTTCATTGTGTAAATCGATATGCGCAGATAAATGCCTTGCTAATTGACTGGCAAAGCGTTTAAAGTACTTGACTGCCTCGTATTTTGGGCCTATTTGGAAACAGATTTGTACGCGCGTATTTTTCGCTGGTTGTGGGTCTCCCTATTTATAACTGGCTTCTTTTTTTTGTGTGTGCCAGCTGAATTGATTTTGTCTTTGTCCACCCACGAGTTGACCAGATAAATCAATATCAGAGGGGTAGGGTGCGAGGGTGCCGGCCCGAATATCCTTCATAATTAGGACTAAAACATGTCTGCGTCTGAGTGGTGGGTCGGTCAAGTGACGGTCTGGCTCTCTCTATTTGGCTAATTAATGGGGCCTGAATCTGGCAAATGAAGTATATCAAACATTAGGCAAAGATTTCACTTGGACATGACAGGATTTATGTGTGTCTGGACATAAGTTTTGTTTAAGCTTTTGGTTGAAGCGTTCAGTTGGGAAGCCCGAAAAAAATGTACAGAAATGTAGCATAAATCTGGTTTCTCTTCAGTAGGTACATTCTCGCATATGTATAATCGTAGATTCACCCATGTTACAGATGAATGTTAGCATCGTTAAAACCCATAAGAAACGCCCATTAAAAACCCAACCAAAAGCCATAAATGCGCTCAAATTGTATCCTGATTATGTGTGCTATAAAATGTGAGGCGTATATATTACAATTGCCGGGCGATATATGGAAATGGAAAGACTGCATTGAGTAAAGGATTTAATTCACGACTCAGTCACGCGTCACGGGGCTCACGGGGCTAAGAGGAAAAACTCAGGCAAAGCCGCAGGCCAAAAATAAAGAAAATAAGTCGAGAGGCAAACACACACACACACAGAAGAGTAAGGAGTGAGGACTGACGTTGCCTTCACTTGTTTATTCACTGCAATCAAACGGGAATGAAATTCTTTTGACATCCATTGAAAGGAACGCAAAGGAAAGGAAAGGAAAGCGTTGGCCTGGCCCACAGACTGTGTGCCCCAGTGTGACATATGCTCTCTCCCCGTGTGTGTGTGTGTGTGCGAATGTGGCATTCCAGTGCTTTGGCTCATAAAAAATAAAACGACTAAAGTGAAACAGTTGAAGACACGCTAGGCGACAGGCAGACAGAACAGCGACAGCGACAGTGAGGAGGCTGCTGCTAGAGCTTCTGGCATGGAATTTATTTCATCAAGGAGCAGCAGCAGCAGCAGCAGCAGGAGCTTGCCCAAATCCCATCCTTCCCTGCCGCAGATCCATCTGCGATGCGATAAAGTAGGTGTAGACACATTGTCAAGGATGGCAGGAGCAGGGGCAGCAACAGGAACAGGAGTAAGGCAGCAGCAGTTGAACGGAGACGAGAGCCAAGTGATTAGGAAGATTGAGTTCATTGCCAAAGGACTTTCCTTATGGTGGGGGGGTTGGGTTCTGTGGTTCCATTTAAGATGCAGTGAAAGCATCTGGCTCCTGTTTGCTACCTCGGGGTTAAGCCATTAGGATAACCGGCTTAGTGGGGAACTTTTTGATATAGATTCTTTTTAATAGTAAGCAAATAAAAAAGTGAGCTTCTAAGCCTTTGGGTGCATGTACATATATATACGAGTATGTAGGTTTTCCCAACATTCCCTTATCTACGACTGAAATGAGAGTTTCATGATGCATTTTTGGGCCCTTCATTTTAATGTTAGCAGTAGGCTGCCAATCACATTGAACGAACCAGTCAAGCAGAATAACCTGCAAATAAAATCCCAGTCAAAACAAAATTTTATATTCAATAATAAAAATATTCGATTTAACAATGGCCGAAGATCAAATTAGAGCACAGCTGGGACAGCTAGCAACGGCCCACGTGAGCGGGCCTATTGACTGGGAGATAGTACATGAGCTGGGAAGAAGAGCAAGAGGTATGTTGGGTATCAACATATTCTCTAATCAGCTTATTTTATATAAATATATATATTCTTCTAGAACGAAGACTATCAGGTATGGGAGGGGCTAATTAATTGCTTAACGATAGCACCTTGACCATGGCCACACTTCTTCCTCTAGATTCCACTCAGCCCCGACTGCCAGAGTCGTCCACTAGGCGTACCGTGCCCCTCGCTACCAGACCGGAACCAGACCAGTCGCTTGGGCCTGTGTGCCCTTGGGGTGAGCAACACCAAACTAATACCAATGCAACAAGCCCAGCCATGACTGACCAGTCGCTTCGGGCTGTCGATTCTGCCCCAAGCGATCCACTCAGTTGCCGTTGGGTGCAAGCGAGCACCGAAAGCAGCTCCAGCTACGAGTGTCCCCTCTGTTTGGAGCCTGTGCAGGCGCCCGTTGCCACCAGTTGTGGACACGTCTTCTGCAGCCACTGTATTTCTACCGCGCTGCGCATCTCCCAAAGGTGTCCCTTGTGCATGGAACATGTGTCAATAGATAAAACAATTCGAATTTATATATGATTATTACATCATATGATTATATCAATATATGATTATTCCAAGTATACATTCGTATATGTGCTTGGAAAATAAATTGTAGCCGTGTTTGTGTTGAAATCGACCAAACCTATTGACTTACATTGAATAATTAAACAATTTTGGGTTGCAGCTAACTGCAGATAGATCTTACTGTTAGATCTGTTGGCTTAAAATAAATCTACAGTTCTATTTTTTTTTTTTCAGTTTTATTTGTACCTCCCACGTTATTCCCAGCACACTGCTCAAGAATACTCAAAAAAGATTGTTAAAAATTTGTGCAGCCTTTAAAAAAAAAAAAAACTCACTTCTAATATGCAGTTCTGTGCCAATTTCCATATGGCCCCTTAAATGGAATTTCTACGCTGGTTTTTACACGAATTTTCCGAACTTAATGCTGCACAGCCAAAAGTATGCAACGATTTTTGTACTGGCGCATATTGCGCATACGACCTGTTGGCTGGGAAGCAACAAAATAGAGAAATATGTGAAGGAAGCAAAGCCATGAAGAGCCACCTGCCACCCATGCCACTCCAAGTGCTGCCACCTGCTGCAACATTGTAAATTGCATCCATCGGGCAGGTTACGAGTACGAGTATTACAAGCATTTTACGCTCAATCGTGCGCCGCATGCCAAGAATGGATAGCAGGGCCGATGGCAGAACGGAGCAGAAAATGTTACAACCAGGGATTGAAAACTGTGCGAGGCTTGGGAGTGGCTGGTGGCTGGTGGCTGCTGGCTGCACCGCATCATCGCATCGGCAACTTGTTACATGGATTAGTGTAAGGATCTATGTCGCTCCATGAGAGTGTGTATAGTCAAGGATGTTCCGCATGTTGGGGATATTTCTGCAACGAATCGTTTTCAATTTCGGAATTCCGAATTTGTTTTCTCTGTTAATTGGCAAAACATCTCACTTCAGGTCCGGCCAAAACGCAAAACAATGTAATCAACACCTAACACAAATGAATAAACGTGCTCAGATCCCAAACAAATTGCAGACGAAACAACGACGGAAAGAAGACAACGAATGTGTGCGCAAAACGTAGCAAGAGAATGAAATGGAAATGGGAATGGGAAGAAATTGTGTCCTCGCAGCAGCGCATTAATCAAGGTGCAGTCAATGCGAACGACGCGATGCCTCTGGCCGTGCGGCCATGTGACAGTGGGATGCCAAATTGGCAACAGACGTTTAAAATAATAGACGTGCCCAGGCCCAGGCCCAGAGACGAAAACGACGACACCATGGAGCACGTATTCCTCCAGTTTCTCTGGCAGGAGCTGCCTGTTCTATGCCTGTCCTTGGCACGATGCTCGTAAATAAAGCCCTGGCTAAGACAAAAGCCAAGCCAAGCCAAGTCGAGCAGAGTCAACAGTCTGTGGCGTTTTGTCATTTGCAGGCGCACATCAAGAACTTATTTCTATCAGGTTTTTCAATTTTCCCAGCGTTGACTATTTTATCCGGTCTCTGGGGGGCATGCCACTCAATCAGCTATTCGATCCCCAAAACACTTAAGCTTTCAATTTCGATAATGGCCAAAATAGTTCGTGCCGTATGTGTGCCTGTTCTAGGAGCTGTCCTACAGCTATTTTTGTGGTAAAGGTGTGTGCTCCGGGTGAAGGGAAAAATCTAAATATGGTGCAGATGGTGAAGAAAATATAAATTTAGAAATATATTTTTATAGGGCAACGATAATAGTTTGGGGTTGTTGTTTGGTGTGACTTAAAGGGTTTCCCCATAATAAATTGAATATTGATATTAAATACTAAAATCGAAACTGCCTCAACGCAGAAACCGCTTAAGAAAAATCTCTAACAGAGATCCAAAATTAAATACGTACAAAATACTCTCATGTACCACAACTCATCTGGAAAATTCTTGCTCAGCCGCGATGCCACAGGCAAAATATAAATGCCACAAATCTGGAATCGTAATATGCATATTATAGCAATAAAAGAAAATAAAGAAAAGCTGACAGAGAGCTCTGTCTCTGTCTCTGTGCGCATATTCACTGTCAAAGCAATTTGCATTCATCTTTTTCTGTGGTGGTTTTGGGGGAACATTTCGGTCGAATCATCGTGCTCGCCCGCAGAGATGGGGGGGCATGGCTTTATTGTCATCATCACCTTCGACCCACCTTCGAGCATGCAAATGGGTAGGCATCATGTGAGTATTTCATCTCTTCTGTGTTGAGTGGCAGAAATCTCATATTGAGCGAGACATGGGGCATGAGGCATGGGTGATAAATGCAAACTCATGTGCAGTTAGATTGGGGGAACGGTGCCCGCATAATAAGCCAGACAGTCAACAAAAAATGCAGATACAGATACGAATTCATCTATAGATGAAAATGTACACAGATGCAGAAGCAGATACAGATGCAGATACAGATGCAGATACAGATGCTTCCATGGCATACAATCATCGTTTGTTTGTGTGTGTGTGTGTGCTTGTCTGAGAATTTCTCATTTCGTATGCAAGTTCCATTCATTTGAATTTCTATCTGTCTGATTTGCTGCTGCGCCTGGTGACAGTTTTACCACTAAGTTTATGATGTGCGAGCTCCACAATGCTTAATGGAAATGTATGTTTAAGAGAATTAAAAAAAACCTATATATAACTGCAAGTAGTTTGAAGCTTTTAAAGTTTTGAAGTTTCTTGAGCTACCCAAAAACTAAACAAAAATAAAAGCACACATTTATTTGGGTAAACGATATAATTACAAACGCATTGATTTTATGAAAATGACCCCCCATTAAATACCAACATCAAACAGCCAGCACCGTACGCGAAATTGGATACCCCATCGTGTGAGATTTCAGATGTTTTATTGCCTAACCCATTTACCAGCACTAAAGGGGTTCGTTTATCGCATTGCTTTCCGCACTCCAATCAATTTACAACTTTTCAGTCCATCACAAACCAATCAGTGTGCAAAATATGAGCGCAATCACATCAAGCCCAGCCAATTGTGGCCCAATGGGTGTACTGCAGTATACTTGGAAATGCACTGCTAGAAAAGCAATATAAAAATATTGAAATTAATTAATAAATAAATCAAGTGTACGATGGCTGGTTGGTTAAGCTTAGTTTTTGGTTTACCCAACCATATTCCATCCAATTTCTCCCAGTGCTATATGATGGAGGCTCACTTGGGATATTTTGCGGCCTCGTTGGCGCCATCAACCAACATCCCAGCCACCCAGGCGGTGCTCCAGTGCTCCAGCTGAATCAACAGCAATAACAGCAGCAGAGAAGATTGAGTAGTGTGACATGGTGAAAGGGGCAGAGGGGGGAGGAGTGTTGTGGGGCAAGAGGAAACAGGGGGCAGAGGGTAGTCGCATGCTGAATGCCGATTCATCGACACTTTTTCATTGAATTCAATTAAAAGCAAAATTGAAAATTGAAATTCAATTAAGATGCTATAAATACAGAGGGTTGCAGGAGGAGGAGGAGGAGGTGTGAATGGGGGGAGAGGTGCGTTCAGAGGATACTGTAAAAGCATTCCATGATAGAAGAGAGCACCACCCTCCACACAGCCACACACACCCAACCCAACCATTCCACCCATTCCAATGATGACAGATGAGCTGCCAGTGTGGATGCTGCGAGTGGCTGAAAGAGATTCGGAATGGAGCCAGGACGCTAGAGCATTGGTATTGGTAATGGGGCATTGGATATGTGTATGTGTATGTGAATGTGTATATGGGTAGGTGGACTGGTTCGTGTGTTATGTTGCAGAGCTGTTTCTATTTTCCTTCATTTTTTTTTGCATTATTTGTATTGACTGTTGCTGCTTGCTGGTCTCTTCACTGGCATTTAATGGGCCATCAACACTTTGCTGAACACATCTCTTGGCTGTCGCATGTATGCTGGCGGGGATATTAATGACAATTAAATTGATGCTGCAATCAATCATGAAGGAACCAACCATAGGCCATATGCCACCAGCTACCAGCTACCAGCCTGCGTAATGAGGACCGAGACTACAATTCTCTAATCCGATTAGCGTCATTTGGAAAACGCAAAGTAATAATATCTAATATTGCAGCTGGGGAATATTGATGGGGAAAAGGATGAAAAAAATAAGTCATCCAGGGAGTTCATCAATTTCTAGTTGGGAAATCAATTTCGCTTATAATTAAATGGTTGAGAATTTTAATTTAATAACTAAATAAATAAAATAATTCATCCAGGGAGTTCAGCAATTTCTAAATTAATGGTTAGGAATTTTAATTTAATAAATAAATAAGTCATCCAGGGAGTTCATCAATTTCTAGTTGGGAAATCAATTTCGCTTATAATTAAATGGTTGAGAATTTTAATTTAATAAATAAATAAGTCTTCCAGGGAGTTCAGCAATTTCTAAATTAAATGGTTAGGAATTTTAATTTAACAAATAAATAAATAAATAAGTCATCCAGGTAGTTCATTTTTAGTTGGGAAATCAATTTCTATTATAATTAAATGGTTGAGAATTTTAATTTCATAAATTTAATATAGTAATTTAACAAAATTGTCTCGCTGTGAATTAAAAAAAACCGCAAACTTTTTGTTTGCAAATGTGTAAAAATTAGCACCGTTAGAGTTGATAATCACTAACTTTAAAAGAGCTATAAAATTTCCACAGATTATAGACAGACAGAGCCCAAAACTTCCGCTTGATTGGGGACCAGCTGCTTTCAATTAAAGACAGAAACAACGTTACAAGAAAACTGTGCAGAGAGAGAAAGTGCAAGAAAAGGCAAAAGCAAATGATTTTACCCAACTCGCTGTGCAGTAAAAGTTTTTCGTAGGGAGTGGTGGGCAAGCGGATTGGCGCACAACTTTGTTAAAGGAGATGAACTTGTACTTTCTATTGACCAAAAAAACCAAAAGCACCAAAGTTAGCGTCGGTTGAGTGGCGTGGCTCAAGGCTATCGAGCAAGTTCCCGGGGCCAAAATCATTGAGTGGGGCGTGGCTTACATTTTAAGGAGATTTTTTTTTGTTTTTTTGTTTTTTCAAATCTGAAAGTTGTGAGCATTTTTTGTCAAACATATAAAAAACTTTTTTATGAATATTTATTTTGGATGCCACACCGAAGGAAGTGCACTGTGCGGAATTGCTGCTTCTGTGTATCGTTGTACTGTGGCAGCATTTTGGTCTCGTTTTACACCATCATGTCAGGACTGCTAAATGCGGCTACCTTAACCGATGAACTTATCTTCAGGAAATGTAAGGCCATCCAGTCCTAAGAATTTCCCATCAGTATAACTCTGCCAACTAGATTCCAGCACTGATGAATGGATCAAGTGGTTCAATATACTCCACGTTTGTCTAATGATTGGGGCCGCAGTTCTGCTGCTGGTGGCCGTTATGACTGTGAGTACGGGCTTGGCGCTTACTGCGCTCAGTTAGTTATCCTTTTGCCGCCCACCTGTTGCAGAATCACAAATTATCAATGCTGATATGGATGGGACTGTTTGTGGTGCACATAATTGCGTATTACATTGCCTTCCATGCCATGGTAAATGTGCGAAATCCCTTTTTCGGTAATACGCTATCCGCCGCCATATATGTGTGCGTTATACTGCTGACCCTGGGTAGGCCTGCTCACTGAATGCCCACGTAAAATGATGGCTAAATAATTTACATTTCAGCCATTGATATATTCTGCCTGATTGTTGTCTATTCACGATATAACGAACTGAAGAATCCACATGATTTTATATCAAAATGTGTAGACCACAACTAAAAGCTAACGAAGTGATACCCAGTCTATATGTTCGTTCCACAGCTAAGCGCCCATGGCAATATGTGTATGTAGATGCATTAAAGATGCTCTTCTGATTAATAATACTGATTAAATCTGAACTGTGCAATATTATTTTTCAATTTAAACTTTACTGAAACCCATTTATCCGCCTTCGGCGCCTAGAGTCGCGTTAATATGGCAGACTCAATTTTCTTTATAATTTCATTAGCATCTTGATGAGAACTGAAAGCGATGCCACACATGCCAGACACACACACTTCACGCTACGCCACGTCATACACTCTTACAGCAGGCAGTCAGTCAGGAAGGCAGCGCTTGGCTAATGCTAATGAGGCCATAATATAAATTGCTTAAATTGAAATTATGCAAAAAAGTTAATACGCCCCCAGATCACAGGAAAGAGAGCCACATCAGCAGCAGCAGCAACAGCAGCAGCTTGCTCAGAGCAATCAAAAAACAAATGCTCTCAAGAATGCCGTCAATGGAGGACGTACATTGCGTATACGCCACGATGTGCGTCTCATATGGCATTTATTGTGTTTAATGTCAGTTTCCAAATTATTCGTGCATATCTTTTTGGTTTTTGGTCTAGTCGAAATTTAAACAACTTTCCAGCTATGATTCTAGCCCATCGATTCTGCTACTGCATGTCCCTGCGGGCCGGCTGCTTTATACTGTCCTTGATCGCACTTTTGGTGTGCATTATGCACATATATAATTTCAATACCACAATGCAAGGTAAATACGAGCGAGCGCAAATATCTATTGATTAATTTATGCCCAAGAGTCGGTCTGACTTTCTGCCCCCAGACAATGCCCAGAAAATGAGCAATGCCTCGTTGATCTTTCCAGGTACAGAGACCGCATTGATTTCTTGTTCGAATTTGATTTTAATTGAGTTTTGAACCTTATGTTTGAGAAGAGGGCAGCACCCAGATTCTTTTAAGGCTTATGCCGGAATTTCTAACAATTATTGCCGTGACTTTCCTATTGATTTCCCTCATTTTGGTGAGTTGAAAACTGATCTGAATGATACATAGTTTAATCCGAATGCAAATAGGACTTTATTCATCTGATTTTGATCACACTGACTTTTGAAGTCATCCAGATGCTATATCAATTTCTATATAGTATTATTGCAACAGCATTGAAAGTTAACGTGACCGTCGATCTCGGTGTCTATTCCAGTGCGATCTATTGGTGCCTCATAGTCGGTTGGATCGGTGAGTTATTCACAGCAAGACGTCTGAGGAAATGCCCCACTAACGGATTCCTTTTATTTTATAGTATTTTCCGCATATTTTGTGTATATTATTATATCGTATTACCAGCAAACGTTGGCATTGATGCAGCTGGATATGTCGTAAAGCCAAAAATATGTTTTTTATTTGTTGTGGAAAATTGTATCTACGAGACTGTAGCATACTTTTGCGGGGAATTTAGTTTGTCTAATTTGGCAGGATATTTTTGTGTTCTTTGTCAAAATCAAAAGTAATGTTAAATTAATGAGAAACATTTGATTGGAATATGATTCGTGCCAAGAAATGCTGCTTCTGTATGTCACTGCAAACGGGATGCATTCTTTTCGCCATATTTGAATTGTTCTGTGCTGGCATGAACTTAGACTATATTTTTAACCTACTAAATAGTAAATAATATAATATAATATTGTGAAAGGAATGTAACTATTTATCATTACATTTTGCATTTGTTTGCGGTTAGGTACGATTTCCTATGAGGCCAAATATACCTTTCCAGGTAAGATCTTCGCTTGAATTTATTGTGAAGTAGATTAAAATTGCTCATTCCTTAATTTAGCTCAAGTAACGCTGACAATATTGCAGGTAGTGCCTGATGTGTTGACCGCCGTGGCTTCCTTTTTCTTGTTAGGCGCCATCATATCGGTAAGACTTGGGACTTGGCTGTTAACACACAATTAAACTGAATTATTGGGCATTTTTATAGCAATATCTTCCGGTCTTCTGGGTGCCTATGGGTCTTTATATGGTCCAGGCCACGTATCTAGTGGTATTCAGTTTAATTTCATCTGCGATGGGCAAAAATTTGATTGTCAACCAGAGCGTCTGGCATAATGTGACCTTTTGGATATATGTAATCGCTTGGCTGGGTGAGATCACACTTATTTAGCCTGTGGAAAACTTTTCTATAATATTTCTTTATATATTTAAGGAATGACATTGTATCTTCTGTACATCACCTACTCTTATTACCGGGAACTAAAAGATGACTTAACACCAAATAGCAACGTTGTACAATGATTGGAAATACAATTATTTTGTTATTTTATTTATTATTATTTTTTTTTTCTTCTAATTTCCCATCTAAGGATTCGTTGCAAACTGTGTCAGGAAGATTAAAAAAAAATAAACCTACAAAGAATTATTCTGTAAAATATTAATTAAAATTGAGGGAAATGTGCCAGGCGAATAAGTATTTCCAGGCGAAAACATTTTGCCGCTGTCTATCGTTACGAACCGGTTGCCTACTCATAGCCCTCTTCTCCGATCTTTTGGGCATCGTGGCGCTGGCTGGCTTCTTTTGTAAACACCTATAAATATATCTGGTTTGATCGTGCTAACAATTGTGTATATTAATTCATTATTTACAGTGTCATTCCTTGATGGTACCCACGATAATATGGTTGAAGGTATACGACTTCAACAACCATTTCTATTCTGCTATTTAATTCGAAAATATTTATTGCATTTTTGTAGAAATTTTAGATGTTTTTTGGGGCGTCCTCCATTTTGTTGCTGGCAATTGCATGTCGTACTCTCTTCTTATGGTATGTAAAAAATTCGATTTGGGGATCACTCTATATCAGACTATATTTAATTGTGTAGAAATCTCCAACTCCGATTCTGGTGTATATTGTGACGGAAGCTTTGTTTTTGGCATTTGCAATCATCTATGTCCCACTGAGCTTTGCAATCGATATCAAGATGTTTGCAAATTTGTGTCATGGACACTGTGTTTCATACTGGATTTTCATATGCCTTATTTTTGGTGAGTTCCACTTGAAATATCTAAGAGCAATGTTTTTAATTTCAGCCATTCTTTTGACAGTTTTATTACCCTATTTCCTATACATAACAATTTCAGTTTATTTGGATAAGAGACAAAGGCTCAGCGAAAATCCACAGCCGGAATAAATACATGTGTAACACAAATATTAAAGATTGAAATATTCATTGAAAACTCTTTTTGAGATTTAAATAAAGTTTTTTACAAGCATTTCCCTCAAAGGGAAATGAAGAATGACCAAAAATAAATAACTGAAACCTCGTTTAAGGCCAACAAATGGAAATCAATAATAAAAATGCTTTCGTTTGAGAGGATATTTCTGTGGCCCAAGGGCAACAGCAGCAAAAACTTTGAATCATTATCCTTGAAAAAAAACATGGACATTCAACAGGTTATACCCATTTGCACCCTCCAGTCGAAAAAAAAAAACGCAATATTTGCAGAGTTCATATCTTATTTTCGTTCAACCCTCAGGCACCCTCATTTTCCTTCATTGATACTATTCATTGAGGCCTTTGAGGTCCTTCCAGCCCTCAAAATAGCTGGCATAATTATCTCTCTTTGACAATTTGAGCTTAACCCCGGGTAACGCTGCTCAAAAACAAGTCAAAAATTAATAGGAAAACTAACTATGTATATGTATCAGGGCCATCATTATGGTTAGTGCCGTAATTATTATGAGCTGTAGGCGGTAGTGGGGTAAATTTAATTAAAACAACAAACGCGCGACAGGTCAAATGGGGGCCAATGGGTGCGGCGCGAGGCAGCTGATGCTATCGTGACAAACCCAAATAAAGTAGAGCCACGGGGTTACATCAGCCAGTCAGGGAGGATATACAGGGGGATAGGCTAGCAAGGGATGGTAATTCAATTTCAAGACCAAACCAAGGCAACCAGCAAAAGTCTCGCGCCTCGAGCCTCCAGCCTCCAGCCTCGAACTTTAAGATAAAAAAAATATAAACCTTAAAAATGCTCACTTTGTGAAACTAATTTGATTCGTAGAAGCTTGTTCCATTTCAGCGATTATTTCAGGGGGGTGGAGACTGGTAGACGCTGTATAACTTTTCACACTCACCCGTCGTTCCATTTTCTTGGTCGCTCAAGTCGGCCAGTGAGGCTGACAAAGCCTCGGCCATCTTAGCCGCCGATGATGTTCTGGCTGTTGTTGTCGTCATCGTCATCGTCTTTGGTTGGGTTGCATTTCCGCTGCTTTTCACAATCAGATTCGTTGCATTCGCTGTGCCATTTTCTGTTCTCGCAATTTCCGCATTCTGCTTTACCATGGCGTGAACGAGTGCGACTTCACTTCACAGCCGCCAGCTGCACGCCCAGATGGCCCCAGTCCCCCAATCCCAACACTTGGGACCAGTCTCAGACGCAATTCTAGTTCCGGCAAGGACCCCGAACACTTGTTGCCGCCTCTGTGCGGAAATTGAGTGAGGTAACTACAACGAAACGGAAGAGAGCGAGAGAGGGAGAGAGAGAGAGAGAGAGAGAGGTAATGGTTTAGTTGGATAGCTCTTATTTCTAGCTGATATTTAAATTCATTGAAATTAAAATAATCGCTGGTTGCTGTGCTGTGAATAAGTGCATACATATGTATATTCTACTGCTCGTTCTTTAATGTTTTCGTAGCTTAAATCCTTTTTGATATATCTCTCTATTATGTGTATTTTTATTTTTATTATGCCATTTCCTTACATTTGAGTAAACCGAAAACTTTGCCCCAACAGGAAATTCAAGACGTTTCCAGCATCTGCTTCGACAGACAGTTTCCAACTTTGTGTGCATCTTGTTTGATGTTTCTTTAAATGTTGTTCTGCTTCGAGAGTTTTCTTTTCGTTTCTGTGCAAAAAAAAAAAAAAAAGCAATGTGTCTCTACATATTTGTACGAGCAAATGTAAGTATATTTGCGTCTTTGTGGGTTCTTTTGGAAAGTGTCTATGCAGCAATTAGAAAAGTTTCCACACAACACACTTGAGAAAGACAGGAAAACAAAAGTAAGTTTTTTTTTTTGCTAAACCCAACACTGGTGACATAATAAATTCCCTATAAACTCTAAGGTACACTAGCACGCTTATCATACATTTTTGAAAACTTTGTTTTCCTTAAGCTTAAAATATATTTCTAGTATTTTTCTAACAAAAGAAGATCTGTTCTAGTGTAAAATGTCCAGTATTTTGCATTGCTTTAAGGAAGATGTCACCGCAGAGAGCTTTCACTGTGCATGTTTAGAGAGAGAGAAGTAGAATTTTTAAGTATCATACATAGTCTTAAACAACCCATAAATAAATGTCAGTATGTCAGGCATACAACTCAAGCAAAGTTGTCGCATATCCTGCAGGCATGCGACCCGACACTCCTCCGCCTTCCCCTCAACCAACCAACCACACATACATACATAGACCCCCTCTCGGTGTGCGCCTCCGCTTCTCCAGAAGGAGAGTGAAAGTTTTCCCAGCCCTTGTCAAAGCTTCCAAAACTAACTGCGAGTACTCTTAAGAACTGCTGCTTTTCTCCCTTGCTGTTGCTGTTGTTCATTCAGGTTGGCAAAAGTTTTTGTGTTCAGCGTTTCCTCTGGCCACTTAGCTGCATCTTTTGGGCCAAGTTAAATTGTGTCTGTTTAATTTGCACTGCCACGCACCACCGCAATAAACCAGCGAAACATTCTACAGAAAAATGCCATTTTGAAGGGTAAGTACTGGCCTGGAGCATGGCGCGTGCCTAATCATGAATATTCTTTAATGGCTTCGACCTCAAAACCACTTGAGCTGCCACTTTCCGTCAGCTGTGGCTGCATTGTTTCATTGCCAACCATATGAAAATGGGGAAAATGTAATGTAAACAAAGCATCATCGAGTATTTTTATGATTTACGTATTAAAAAGTGTTTATGTAAATGATATATGTATATTCTACCATACTTTGGCTCACTTTCCAGCAAAATAGACACGAGAACAAGTTCAAGGTTTGCCAAACAAACCAAAAATAAAGATATATGTATATTTTTTTTTAAATATTATTCCCGCAAAATATCCAATTAGTTATTTTATTATATTATTTTATTTATAGTATTTTATTTATTATTTATTTATTATTTATTTATTATTTATTATTATTATTTATTTTATTATATTATATTTTATTTTATTTTGTTCCTTTGCAGATTCAATAAATTCAAACACTTTTAAAGTAAGTAAATAGATCCAATTCAATGTTACGGTTAAACACTTAAAACATTAGACATGTAAGCCAAGCAAAGCGATAGTTCTATCCAAGTCTCCCATTGAAATCCATTGTCATTTGTCACCTTAGCCTCCATCCATCTATCTATCCATTGTGGCGCTGACCTCTAATCTGTGTGCTTTGACGCTGGCCACTTGTGGATTTTCGCATTTTTAAGCAACCAACGAGCCCCGCCTGACCCTTGTCCCCCCACCCAACAAAAAAGCACCCTGGAGCAGAGCAGAGCAGAGTAGAGTAGAGCGGGAAACTACCCTGCTGGAAACAACCCGTACTCATAAATAAATATACAATACAAATATACAGTATACAGTGTACGGATCCATTGTTGTTACCGGGGCTCGACTCGGTTTTTTTCGCTATGCATTCTCGTTTCATTTCGGTTCTGTTTTGTGGATTGTTTTGTTTGGCGCGAGTTTTGTTTTGTTTTTTTTTTTTGTTATTTTGCGATGGGGTGGTTTGTTTATGCCGCACTCTAGTTTTATTCTGGCGCAGGTTTAGTGCAAAAATAAAATGAAAATAAATAAAAGTGCTTTTTGCAGGCAACTTAAATTCATATAAAATTTAAGTTGTGGATTTTTAACGGTTGCATTATTTTTCACAAATGATAAGAGTTTTAATTTTCGCTGAACGCTGAATTCTATCAAAATTCATTTGTTAAACAAACATTTCTCATATGATCTCAATCGCTGGCCATTTCCGTGAGTAAACTTTGCAACAACAACAAACAGCAACAAAAATAAGTGTACTTTTGCCACAAGCCATAAATATGGCCGAGTGCATTTCCTTGAAAATGTACATTTTGCCATAGTTTTATGGCTCCTCGGCGAATGCGGCGTATGAGCAATCTAATTCTCACTTGCGGATGGATCTCTCTCAGTCACTCTCTCTCTCGCTATCTCTCTCTCTGTATTGAAATGGCACTAGAAGCGAGGGCGTAGCTTTCTCGTCAGCCAATTATCATCATTTTTGCATTTAACTTATTATCATAATTATCATAATAGGAGAAAAACGGAAACTCGTAAATTTTTTCTTTTAATTTTTTCTTTTTTTCAGCAATGGGAAAAATTCGGTGAATAATTGTCGCTTGTTTGCTGGCCTCTCATTATTTTTTTTATTACTGTGCTCTACCGCATTTTCATTCAAAAAAATATTAAAAAAAATATTTTTGCTGAAGAACCTTGCATTCTTCTTCACAGCGCAAAGCTTCGTGTTTTGTGTGTCTGTTTTTTGTTTGAAATTGATTAAAGTAGCAACCCCCTACCCCCCACTCGCCACCCCAAGCAAACATCCAACAGTTCAACCATGCCATCATCCATCCAATCCAACGCCTGTTCCCCAAACACTCATACACTTGATTGAGTAAGCGTGAGTGCCCCTCTGGTGTCTGCGCCTGTGTCTGTTTGTGGCTTGCACACACATAGATACTACATACATACCTGCCACATGTGTGTAGGTCTTTTTTTTTTTGTTTGTATCTTTGACTTTGATCGCGCATGATTAATGATTACGCCTGTGTTTATTGCCTTTCGCCTGCTTGGGGGCCTTGGCTAGGGGCTACGAGCAATAAAATTTTTCTTTTCTATGCTATGGGGGACTTTATATGTTTTTCAACTTGAGGACTTGGCTGGATTCTGTCATTGTTTATATTTATGTACATATATATATATAGTTGGTGAATATTGGGGTAAGAGAAATCTCATATTTAAGGGGACTTCGTACGTTTATAATAAACAGCTGGTTAAAATTAAATTAAATATATTTATCATGGCAATCCCATTCTGAGTTTTGAGTTCTATTTTAATGAATTTTGTTTCTACTTATTGCTCTTGTATATGTGTGTAGCTCTCTGTCTCTGTCATTCGTGTTATGTTCGGGTGAGTCATCTATTAATTTTCTCAGTATAATAATTTTATTGGGCACCCGGTTAATTCTATTGTCTGTTTATGGCTGGAACAGAGCACAGAC